TTTTCTTATTTTCCGCGTAATGCAAACAGAAAACAAGATGCAAAAATTGGAAAATATTTGCTCTTTATAACTTTGCTTCCATCACTTCTCTCTCAAAACCAAAATGCTACGCCATCGAGTGACTTTTATCCCATTCTGATGCAGGTAAACATTACTTGCGTCAGCAGGGAATGAAAAGTGTACACTACAACATCTTTTGTTTTTATTATCGATATTTTAGCGTTTCATGTACTTTTAGATGTGTGTTATATTCAATTAATTTTATTACATTAAGTCAGACCAGAGGTTTACAAGTAACAATTAATAAAACTACTTTATTCGCCCTGCGATCTGGTAATGATAATGTCTAAAGTCTATTTAGTTACTTAGGAGTAGGAAGAAGAAGTCATTTTCTTGTCTTTGCTTTAGTAACTTAAGGGCCCTTTAGTAGCTCTTTTGTGTACCTACTGAACTGAGGAAAAGGGTAAAGGGCTTCCCTTCTCGTACTTATTTACATATAATTTGAACAACTTGGACGGTAAACAGCGCGCATGGAATATAGAGTAATAATTATAATACATAACATATCTAATGTTAAGTTACTAAGGTATGTAGTAGGAAAACCCATTTTTCCTAGTAATAAACCGTCTGCTTTTATTTTAATTGTTGTAAACCAGAGCTGTAATCAGGGATATTATTACGTCTGGACAGGCTAAGCCTGTTCTAGCCTAAGGATTTCGAAATTTCTGTAGGTAATTTTTGAGGTGAACTTTCTGTGTGTTAACCAGAGACGTGTTAACAAGAATTAACCATCCACAATGACAATTTTATTGGTGTTGTAACATTTATTAGATGTTGGGTTGCCTATATACTATATTACAAATTGCAGTTTAATTGTACGCAGAAAAATAATTATCATTTCTAACTGTGTTTAAATAGAAAAAATATAATGTAATTATGAAAATTCATCGATATACTTCAAAGAAACCGAAATTATAGCTAAAGTATAACGTTTATATTAAATTGTCCCGGCGCCTCCACCAAAATTTTCAATAAAAATTATTGATGATTACTGTTAACGTTTGTGAATCTTCGTAACCATTTAATTTTTGAAATTACTACAATAGTTTACAACAAAAATTAACTGAAGCACTAAGTAAAAGCTAATTTACCAGGTTTGAATAAAAATGTGTAAAGGTTTTCAATCAATTTTACAAGGAGACGTCTTTAAAAATATTACTAAATAATTAATTATTTCTAAGTAATATTAAGTATTTTTTGAGGATAGTATTGAGTTTCATTTGAAAAAGGTATTCTGATGACAAAAAACGTTTTCTAATTTTCTTTGTAATTACATTTGTAAAGTTGTAATTTTTGCTGCATGTTGGGTTGTCTATATACTATATTACAAATTGCTGTTTAATTGTACTTAGACAACTAATTATTATTTCTAACTGTGTTTACACAGATAAAATATAATTTAATCGTGAAAATTTATCGATTTACGTCAATGACACCGAAATTATGCGAACGAAATCGTACAAAAATTCAATCCATCGAGTTACTTTTAAGGAAGTTTAATCGACGATTACAAACTTTGTAATCTTTTTTGCATGTATAATTAACTACTAGTTAATGAAAGTACTGGAAGTTTTGAGTCAGTACGAACTTGTTAGTACGAAAATGGCCAAACATTAAAACGAAGGAGTTCACTATAAACGAAATCAAGGAAAGTTTCGTGAAATATCTAAAGATTTAAACATAGGTGTGGAAAAATTAATGCTTCTGGTTACGAACAAACAATTATGTCTGTTCTCTTATTTTTATAGAGTAGCGTCGTGCTCTGCGTGTGTGAAATCGACAATTACGTGTCTGAAATAGGCCGTTGTCATAATTAAGAAAAGTTTGTTCAGTTCGAGAAGTTTGGAAAATTATATTTACCACGTACGTTTAGTTCTAAAAGCATTTTCATCTTTTCTTCTCTATTTTCTATCGGTTTCCTCACTTACAAAATATTAAAGTTTTTCCCACTTTATTATCACAGAGTTTTTAAAAATTTATCCTCTCGGGCGTCCTACTTTTGTTATAATAAGTAATAGTTAATATAGAACGAGTTTTGATATTGACAATTGTAGAAATGATGGATGTTAAATTAATTAAGTATTGTTAGTTAGTTTTAAAGATTAAAAATCATACTTTTCTATATCTATCGTACCTATCTTTCTTCTATACGTCTGCCTATAAGCGATTTTACGTGATGCACAGGTACATACGTACGAAAAAGAGCTTTCTTCTTCTTTGAAATTTGGGATAGGTGTCAGGTAGCCCTTTTTATATGTAAATTTCTGCGGGGATGCCTTTCAAAAAACGTTTACGGATCTGCCGTTTTTCTGTTCACGTATCTGCATACAACATGTTGGACCTTTGTTACCTTGTTTAAATATTAAATATACAAGTAGGTAGATATATAAAAATATGAAAACGCATGTTTTACAATTAGATCGATTTTCTTGTGTTCTTCGTATGAGTTGGAACTTTTTCTGTTTTTCATTTGCACAATTACTGTGTTAAAGCATTTTCAGTACGTTCATTACAGCGGAGATCATAAAGTATTTTTTATTGCTGTTGTATTATAAAGATCCGCGGGGTGGGTGTGAAGAAATTTAATTTCGTACTATACCAGAAATACAATGTAAATGTAGGTAAATAATAAAAGACATTCGCCCCTAATTACCACAAGTAATTTTTAAAAAACAGATACGTGTTTTGAATATCCGCAAGTTACGTGGGGGGGGTAACGTTCTCCATTTTTATAGGGAAAGGGAATTTCAATTTTCGTTTTACTTTTTATATAATTATTGACAACTGTTTATCTGGCAACAACCTTAAATATTTAATTTTTCATTTCCACACTTCGTCTCTCTTCCCGAAATTAATTTTAACTTTAAAAGCAGTTCGTCTTTATTTAAAAGTGGAAATGTTTTGCCATAAGTATATAAAATAAGTACTGCTAAAGGGTGCATGTGTGTATTGTAACAATGTCGAATACGTTACATTGTTCTTGGTACAGAAAGGGGGTGTTTCAGATGTATATTGCATATACCATTAATTAAGTTTAGCAGTTAACGGACAATTTTCGCAAAGACCCAATAAATTGAATTTACGGTGTTAGACGCATTGCCCGTAAAAAACTACTACAGGAACACAATGAAATTCGTACAAGCTCGATTTGATCGTAATTTAATTTGTAATACATTTTAGGAAGCGTCTCCTCTTACTATCAATGAGTTTATTACTGGATTATTTGCTGATCTGAAGTAAATATAAATCTCTTAATTATGCACAGATCCTACATATATTGTTATAATTAATCATAAATTAGAGTAAAATAGTATGAATGAATAAACGTAGAAAAGGTAATTTGAAAAAGTCACAAGTTATTTACTTGTTAAAAATAGAACAATTNCGTAGTAAAATGTAAAATTTTTGGACTTTATGAAATCAGTTTTGACGTTTTACAAATTAAAATTTATTATAATTACATTCTCGAAGATCCTTTTAATTTCGATGTCGAAAGGACGTCTTGCATAGTAAAACAAGCAAGTAGCTTTTCCATGTAAATTTCTACTAAATTACGAACGGGCACCGGCTTGGTAATTACTCAAACGTCTTTAGTTTCTGTTATCAAAAAGAGTCACTTTTTTTACATAATACGTAATCATTTTAATATCAGTTAGAAATAATATCAATGTATGAATTACAATGTCAAACATAAACATTAGTTTTGAACCATTTGGATGTGTTTTTAAAAAAGGTTTGATGATGATGATGATGATGATCTTGCCCTTTAAAGTTGTATGTATGCGTATATGTACTACTAGGTATAAAATAAGGGAAAGACATTATTAAAAATGGCGTGTGAAATTAAATATTGTAGGATGAGAGTAAACTAAGTGCATTCTTCGGCTGTAATGTAAGTACATAATAAACAATTAAGACCTTCTTTAAACTGACGTCGAGTTAGTGAGCTAGATGGTACTAATCTTCCAGTTTAATAACACAGTTTATAGCGCTAACGCTGTCTTAGATTGAAATCATATTGCACCAGTTTTAACTAATACATACATAGGATTGCAATAGTACGTTATAGATTAGAACATAACCGTTGGTTTTGACTTCCATTCGAAGAATCATTGTATAAATTTAATGCCTACTCCCCTATATACATATATTTTATATATCATATAGATTCGTATAGTTTTAGGGAGGATACAGAAATTTCGGAGACATCTTTATGATGTATATATATGCAACCAATTATACACCCGAATAGAGACACTTAAACCCGCTTACTCTTTTCCAACTGGAGTACACCTAAATTACTGATTTCTAATTAAAAATTCTGATTAACCAAAACATCCTGAATATCGAAACTAGACTATGACACAATCCGATATTTTGATTAAATATTTACTGTAATAGTATGAGAGAGCAGATTACAGCAGTTTGATGAAATTTTACAAAATTTAATGTATTGCTGAAAACCATGTACGACTGTACATGTAATAGAAACCAAAATACTGTCAAAAATAAAAAGTTTCACTACCAAATCGACACTAAATGTATGCATGTAATTCGAAACTGATGGGAACGATACCACTTTTAATAGAAACCTTGAAAAGACATTAGGATCTAATGTCTTCTCTTAACTTTTGATAGACGCATTACCATCTTGTCTGCCAGGAATGGGATAAATTTCCTTATTTTATAATACATTTGTTATTATTATTATTATTATATAAATACGTATGTACGTTTAGTATGAAAATGTTTTGTAAAAATATTTAGAGGGAAAATTATTTCTGTTCTTTAATAGTGAGAAAACTTGGATTGTAATTTTTTTACTAAAAAAATTATTTTATTCTACTGACCGATAAAAAAAGTTAAAAAACATTTAGCTATTCGGTTTCATGCAATATCTACCGTTAAAAAAAGTAACGTTATTGCTAGTATCAACTCACCACGTATTCTTACTCTTTTCTGGCAAAATAATTCACAAATCTTTTCTTGGGGGTTGTATTATGGTTTGCACCCTCGATGGAGTTTTTCGAAAAGCAGCTACGCGAATTTCGCGCTCCCTTTTATATAAGCTTTACGGTGTATGTGTATGCGTGAAAATGTACATATTAGGTGAGCTTTTCCCCCAACTCCTATGCCTTACAACGCGCAGACGTTCTGTTTGCTTTTGCTACACAGAGGGTCTGAATTTTACCATTTTAACCCCCGTCTTTTATTAATCAGATATGTAACTTTAATTATTACCTTTATTAATTAATTATTATTATTATTTTTTGATCTGTCGTGAGGTTAATGAACGAGGACCTTATTTTACGTACATTTTAAATATGCAAAAATCGAATTTAATCTGAATCTTTTAACATAGGTAACGAAAACGTCTTATCAGGAAGGATTAAAAAGAGTTGTAAGTTGTGGTACTTTGTTTTGAAATAGTTTTTGAATTTATTGCGACAGTAGGCATACATTAATTACTTATTTCTATTGATGTAATTTAATCGATGTCTAGGGCATATTTCGTATTGGTCTTAATTTAATGGAGAAAATAGTGAAAAAGTGGGCGAAAACAGATGGAAGAACGTTATAGGCATTCGAATAGCTATCGTATCGGTAAAATGAATTAATTGAAAGCGTGTACATGGTACATGTGTGTGTGGTTTTCGTCACAAATAGATGGCTTTTCGAATAAGGGTTAAATGATAAATACCAGATGGCTTCACTTTTGTAAATTGATCCCAAATGACTATTACACATACATATATATATATATTTTGAATTGCACTCTAGATAATTTTTCGATGCAATCTGTAATTTGTGTTGTTTTTTTGTAAAAACAAGAGCGTTTTTCAATTTTCTACTCCTTTTTTAAGATGGTAACATCAGAAGCTGACTAATTTATGCAACCTGGTTATGTAATGTGTGTGTTGGGTTGCATATAACCGACTGGTGTTGTTTCTGCCCTGTATCTCAAAATCCATGTATATTTATATAGCTATATAGATACTTATGTACAAACATTGCCCGTTTGATATAGGATATTAAAGAGCTGTTGTTTTATACACGAAAGTTGCGTAAGCTTTAAACAAATATGCGTTACAGATTTTATTAAATTATAATCGCCGGGATAGGCCGTTGAGTTTGCTTTACTTAGTTAGTCCCCTTTTTTTCCCCGATTAATCCAAAATCAATTATCAAATACCTATATTTTACTTTAATTTTGTTTATCCGCCTGTCCGGTGAAAATAATTTCACATCAGACTTTTATCAATTTCTAATTTTAGTTTTATAAGTAGGTACACAATGAATTGGAATTTACTTACGTTAGTTAGGTACATAGACACATACATAAATACGTACACTAAATGTTACATGTATATATATCGGCACTCGTACTCCTTTTATCTTTTTCGAATAACAGTAAAAAGAATATTGTCTTTTGCTCTGTACATGAAGATGTAAATTTTACGTCGTTTTCTACACGGATTATGCCTTCTTGAGGCTTACAGTAACGTTCATGACTCTTTAAAATGGGAAAATTAAACTCCACGTACCTACTAAGATGTGGATGGAATTTCTTTTATTTGCCCATCAACTTCAATAATGTCTTACTTCTTTTATTATTATTATTATTAGTTACTAGTTTTTTCACCACTACAATTTAATCGTATGTAAAACTTAAGGGAGTAATCTTCCAACACAATCTAACTAGTTATCTTCCCGATATTTATAACAAACATCTAACTCACAATTTCGATTAACATTTGTCTATTAATTTTTTCTTATGTTT